TGTGAAAGGATTTGGGGGTTCTTTTTCACAAGGAAGTCACCATGGAAACCAAGGGTGACACATTCTCTACACTTTAAAAGATTTAAAGTATATATATGTTTTATTGATTTCAGAGAGAGGAAGGGAGAGGGAGAGAAAGATAGAAACATCAATCAGCTGCCTCCTGCACGCCCCCTACTAGGGCTCGAGCCTGCAACCTGGGCATGTGCCCTGACCCAAAATCAAACTGGCAAACTCCTGAGCGTGAGATGCATTCAACCAACTGAGCCACACTGGCTGGGCTACGCTTTAAACAGTTTTAAATGGTGAGTAGTAGAACAGAGTCAGGGAAGGACAGAATTATGAAAGCATTGAAAAGTACTGACTTGGATGTCAGGAAAGTTTGAGTTCAGAATGCAGCTCCTATATCCACTAGTGATGTATTCTTGGGCAAATTACTTAGCTCCTAACGAGCCACCACTTCCTCATCTGTAACACGGGGAGAAAAGCACAATGTGGGGTGAAGTGTGAATAAGGTGATGCATGGAAAGGACCTAGGACAGTTCAGCGCAGAGAGGGGGCTGAGTTTCTTTTTTTTCTCTTATATGTGAATGCTCAGCATCTGCCCTGACGGGTCCACACGGGCAATGTCCTTACAGGAACAAGCTCGTGGAAGGTAAATATTGCAGCGGGAACAGTAAACAAATGGAGGGACTTTCCCATAGGGAGAGGGAATTAAGAGGAAGGGCAAGGAATCAGGCTTCTGGCTAATGTTCCAGATTTCTGTCTGATTTTAAACCATGGACTGAAATTCTCATTTTCTAGGGCCTGCTTTTGCTTCCCGTGTTCTCAGAGGGCACAGAACTGGGCAGTTTCGACACAGGTACTGGGGGCAGAATTTCCTCTTGGTGGTCATACAACAGTGAAACATGTGAAATAAACCCCCTGGCCCTTAATAATTGCTCAATAAAATTTTTCCTCAATAGAAGGTGGGAAGGTTTATTTGAAGAAATTCAGCATTTCGGTGATGGTTGAGCCTTTGAAAACCCGTCTTTTTTTTTTAAAAAATATTTTATTGATTTTTTACAGAGAGAAAGGGAGAGAGATAGAGAGTTAGAAGCATCGATGAGAGAGAAACATCGATCAGCTGCCTCCTGCACATCTCCTACTGGGGATGTGCCCGCAACCCAGGTACATGCCCTTGACCAGAATCGAACCTGGGACCTTTCAGTCCGCAGGCCGACGCTCTATCCACTGAGCCAAACCGGCTTCGGCAGGAAACCCGTCTTTTTATTGGGATTCCGATTTCCTGAATATGTCCACGTGTCACCCACCTGCTTTTCGACACAAGGGTCACAGTCTGACCATGGTCCATAATCCCCCAGGAGGCAGTTGATCGGACAAGCTTGCCAGTTACACTCTCTGGCTTCCCGTAAGACACAAAGGTGGTGACAGGAGTTCTTCAGATAGTATTCATTTATTGTTACTTGTCTGCAATAGTGAAGAAAAAACCTGCTTAGAATTAGTCTAATCACTGTGACTCCAGCCCAATAAGGAAAATGTCACTGAGAACTGACTATAGTGAATAGAAGGAAAGAAGGCTTTCGTGAAAAATCATTTCATGGAACTCAGGACCAAGTACATAATTTATGGGGCCCACGGCAGAATAAAAAAGGGCGGATGAGACTGTTCTTATTTAAAAATTAAGAATTTAAAACAGTGACGATAGAGTATTAAGCCAAGCATGAAGTCCTTTTAAGTGTTAGGTCACTCACTATGAAGCTGGCACCGATGGAATTCCTGGAAGAGACTGATTGGGAAAGAAAGGAAAAGAGAAAGTTCCTGAAAATTGCTTAAAAGATCTCAGTGTAATAAGTACAATGATCGAGGTGGAATCAGAGTGGTGTGGGGCCAGTCAGTCAAAGAGGAAGTGACAGGAAAGATACAGGAAGTGACAGGAGAGATACATCTTGAAAAGCTCACGTGAATTCTCCCGGCAATGAAGGGAAGAGCATGTGGAGGGAAGGGCCGTGCAAAGAGGACAGGTGGAGGAGCATGGCATGTCCCCGGAGGAGCCCGTGATACGGGCTTGAGAAGGGCACAGTTGGGAAGAAAGGGATTTATTGTTGAACTTCACTAGGTGGACGGTGAGAGAGCTACTGAGGGACTCTTCAGTAGAAGAATATTCTAAACAAATCTGTCTTTACATACTTGGCGGATGGTTTATTGTAGAAGTCAATTGGTTATTTATTTATTTTTTTTAATATATTTTATTGATTTTTTACAGAGAGGAAGGGAGAGAGATAGAGAGTTAGAAACATCAATGAGAGAGAAACATCGATCAGCTGCCTCCTGCACATCTCCCACTGGGGATGTGCCCGCAACCCAGGTACATGCCCTTGACCGGAATCGAACCTGGGACCCTTCAGTGCGCAGGCCGACGCTCTATCCACTGAGCCAAACCGGTTTAGGCGAATTGGTTATTTTTAATGAGACTCACACTATACATATGCAAAAAAGAGTTTTCTAAAATAAAGTTTCTAAAAAGTGTTATCATAGCTAAAGCACATTAAACACATGCCTTTCTCCCTCAAGTCATGTGAGCATCTGCAGGGAACAGAAACACCTCGTAGATTTAAAAAAAAACACCCACTGGGACAAGTAGTCTGAATTGGCAAAAAGACTGAATTACTAAATGTGACACAGTTTTCTTGCTTCTTGTACATGCCAACAATCAAGGTAGCAGCTAGCATTGCTGTGCAGTTAAGCTCCTGTTAGACTGTTTAATGAGCAGAAAATTCTCTGTAATTAACTCACTCACTGGTGGTGAGCAGTTATATGCTGATTGAATAAAAAGCTTGAGTAGCAATTCTAAGTAAATAGTCAACTGAAAATATTGCACAGATTCTTAATTAAATTTCTTTGAAACTCCTCAATGTTATGGAGAGAACAAGAGTAGACTTCCATTCAACCTTATGTGGAAAAGACCGCAAGTTCCTTCCAAATTCATGAGTTCTTATTCTGAGACATCTAGTTTTGTCCCATTGCTTCCTATGGCCCTTTGGATATTGCTAAGTCTGCCCTTGAGGTTTCCCAGGGCACACAGCAAAGCTGCACAGCTCGCACCCACCTTGATCTGGTTTGGATTCCAGTATTGCAGGTTTTGGAGCAGCTGGACCACTCAGTCCATGGGAAATGATCACAGTAGCAGGCGTGGCTCTTGTCAATCAGGGCACTCAGCAGGATGAAACACAAGACAGAGTGTCTGGCCATGCTCTGAGAGCCCCCAGGCCCTGAAAAGCAGTGATAGAGTGCATATCAAAGACTCATCGGGGGGTAAACCTTTACAAATCATTCTGTTAGAGACTCAGATATTATCTTAGAAAACACTGGTGTCTCCTCGTCTTGCTTTAGGCAAGTTCACACATAAATTTACATGTTCATGAGTATAAATCCTATTTCTAAAGATTTTTAAGGTATATATTTCTGTGGTTACAATCCCCAGTAGGAGGATGTTTCTCTGAATTGTTAGTGGTAGGCTACAAAGCAAAGTATGTAGTATATATTTGTAACCCGTTGGGAATTCTTGTATAAACTTATCCTTTTCAAAACAACTGCTCACTTTGTGTGGGCAGGACCCTCCAGTACACTTCAATTTTTCCTACTTTTCTAGATCTGGGGAATGAGCTAGGACCATTCTGCTGGAAGTTCTATTCAGTTTCCGGACATCCTGGAAACCTGCTAAAGCAAGTCCTCCCCCGCCCCCCCAAGAAAAACCCACAAAAAGTCTCATAGACACAGACAAAAGTATGCTGATTACCAGAGGGAAAGGGGGTGGGGGAAGTAGAAGAGAGTAAAGTGGGGATAAATGGTGATGGAAGGAGTCTTGACTTTGGATGGTGAACACACAATACAAATATAGATGATGTATTATATAATTGTACATCTGAAACCTATATAATTTTATTAACCAATGTCACCCCAATATATTCAATAAAAATAGCTAGAGAGAGAGTTCACTGTCCAATTACCTCTACCTTTAGAGCCATAGAAGTTTGAGCTGAAACAGATCTTTGAAATCTGCAGCTTAAACACCCTCATTTTATAGGTGATGAAACTGAAGCTTAAGGAGGTGCATTAACATTGAGGCTACATGACAAGTAAGAGCCCAGGACTCTTCATTCTTTGATAATATGCATCCTTCACTGAATCTGTAGTAACACTAATTATTTTGTTACTGGAGCATCTCTTGATGCCTGGAGCTCTACACCCAGACCACGAGAGGATGTATCCAGATGTGGCTGAATGTTGGAGAAAACCTTGACCAGTAGTTCCCACCCGTGTGCTGAGGATCTGGGAATTATTGAAGGGAATTTTCAAAACCATTTCTGCCCTCCCATATTGCCATGTTGATCTTTATATCTCTAACAAAACATGCAACATGATTAAATATAGAGAAAATACTGCTGCAATTAATATAGTGACTCACATTTAAAGAAATAAAATCCCCTTCACCTTGTTTCTCCACCTTAGTTTTATTATCTATTAAAAAAGGAATACTTTTCCTTCTTCATAAGGCTTTTGTTAGGATTCAGTAAGGAAATTAATGTAAAGTGCTTAAAACAACCCTTGGCATAGGATCACTGCTCAGTATTAGCTTTTAAAATTAGTAATAATACTTACGAGTGTTGCAAATTTTGTTGTAGCTGTCAGTCATGTATTTTTCAAAACTAGGGGCTCTTTGAATTACATCAAGGATCATGTGAAGATTAAAATATGTTTTGACATTAAATATTCAAAGCAATGTAGACATTAATTTGTCTTTAACTCCAATTTTTAAAAATTGTTTTTATTGATTTCAGAGAGAGGAAGGGAGAAGGATAGAGAGATATAAACATCAATGATGAGAGATCAACTGCCTGCTGCATGCCTCCTACTGGGGATTGAGCTGCAATCCAGGCATGTGCCCTGACCAGGAATCGAACCAGCAACCTTTCTCTGTGCACGGGACAATGCCCAACCAACTGAGCCACACTGGCCAGAGCTGGCTTAGCTCTTATACAACCTTTCTTATTCCTACACTGTCCTCCCTCTACCCCCTTTTTCCCTGATGCTCTGGGCCCTAAGAATTGGTTGGGAGAAATAGAAGATTTTTAGATTTATAGGGGAGAGAACCATCACCCTTGACCCTTCTAAGTTCAGACTGTGATCCTTGTTCCTTCCACAGCTCTCTCCTTTTGGGACAATCCACTTTGGTACCTGCCCATCTATGCCTATTCTTCCCAACCCTCTTTGTACACCAGACGCCTAGATGCTTTCTAGGTGTCTTCCCCTTCCAACCCAACTCCACCCATTACCCAAGCAAAAATTTCTAATCATTTACCTCCTCCCCATCTTAGACAACGAGCTAGATCATTTCCAGTGCCCAGGGGTAACACAGCAACAGGAGGCACAACAGGCAAGTTGGCTTTGTCTGGGGAGGCAGGTGCAGAAATGCATGGAGGGAGTTAGCCCCGGAAGGCCACTGCCCGAGTGCCCTGCCCGGAGCGCTCCCTGCACTGACCAATGGTCTCGAGGATCCAGCCTACTGTGCCATCTCCACCACACACCAAAATCCGGTAATCGGGAACTTCTCTGAAGAATCTAAGCCTGAGACAAAAGGTGAAAGAGAAGGTGAGGAACGATAACTGGAATGAGGCTACCCAACTCCCGGACAGGCAGATTACTTCTTTTTTGGACTTTCCTTATAATCCCCTTCTCCTATGTCAAAAGACTTATCTCTATTAAGGGCAGAGAAAAGGTACAATGGGGATAGTTTATAGCCATCCTTAGTAGTTAGGGAAAATTGGTATCTCCAACCTTTGAGAGCAGAACAATGATGAGGCAGAGCACTCAGAGGACAGAATACTCAGTGACCCTAGTAAAAACAGCATTCTGAATTCTGATTTCTAGGGGTCCCCTGGCCCTCCCCTCCCAACATGCAATCTTTCCTGCTCTCTCAACATACACAGATAGGCAGACACACACAAACATTGTGCTACAGCTCCCAACTTACACTCACCCTGGCTCAGGACCATCCTTTAGGAGGTTGAACACCTGTCGAGGGTTTAGCAGATACTGGAATTTCCAAAGCACCCTGTTTGAGGGAAAAAGGAAAGCTCATGGCAGGGGATGGAGTTTCTGTACCCCACTTTCTTGCTGTCCTCCTCAAGGAAAGTCCTCTCCATACACACAGATTCCAAATCTCTGTCGGTCTTCTCCCTCCATCTCAGAAGACCCAGTATTGTTTTCTCACCTCTCTCCCTGCTTCCCACCACTCTTAGGGTTGACAAAGACCAGAAGTGGGTGGGTGTTAGCAACAGGGTCAATCTGCATGGGAGAAGAAAACAAGGATAGGGAACACAGGGTTTTGTTAGAGTTCAGATGGACCCTGGAGACAGGAACAGAAAGCTGTTATTCCCCCAAGATATTTTTTCCCCTCCTCTACCAGGGTGGGGCTTCTGGAGAGCAGGCACAATTCCCCAGGTTTCCACTTCATTCCCCCCAGGAGGGCTCCTTTGAAGGAAAACCATCCCCCACCACATGAAGCCCAACCCTCTCAGCCTTGTACCCGCAGAGCCTCAAACGTGCTCAAATTTAAATCATCCACGATCTTCTGGCTTGTTTTGCTACTTTTATGCTCCTGTCCAGAGGCCTAGGAAGGGAAGCAAAGGGAAGGAAAACTGGATTGTGTGTGAATCCCTAAACAGATGAGAGTTTGACTTGAGTCCTAAAAGTATAGGCTCTCTGCTCTAAATGGCATTGTGTGCATGTGTATTTTTAAATCGGAGAAGCACTCGTGTCCCCTCCCAGCCGCTTCGAGAAGGATAGAGAGATATAAACATCAATGATGAGAGATCAACTGCCTGCTGCATGCCTCCTACTGGGGATTGAGCTCTGGGCATGTGCCCTGACTAGGAATCGAAACATGACATCCTGGTTCATAGGCCGATGCTCATCCACTGAGCCACACCGGCCAGGTTATTTTACATTTCTTAGTTGTGATGAAAGAATATGTCAGTTAAAAAAAATATATAGGGCTTGCCCTAACTGGCTTGGTTCAGTGGATAGAGCGTCGGCCTGCAGACTGAAGGGTCTCAGGTTCAATTCTGATCAAGGGCATGTACCTTGGTTGCAGGCACATCCCCAGTAGGGGGTTTGCAGGAAGCAGCTGATCAATGTTTCTCTCTCATTGATGTTTTTAACTCTCTATTCCTCTCCCTTCTTCTCTGTGAAAAATCAATAAAATATAAAAAAAAATAGGGCTCCTTGTTTCATAAATTTTTGTTCAAGCCAAAAGCTTGAGATCAGATATAAAAATTGTGTCTCCAATATGTTAAAAAATGAGAACATTTCTTCTTAATATATCAGTAAGCTTTTGAATTTTCCTACAAACTCAGAGAAGAATGCTGGAATAAAAACAACCAAATTCATTGGCATATGACTAAATATGTCCTTCAATTTCAAATGGAATCTGCACAGTTGAGTATCCATTGTGTGCTGCTGGGCTGTGAGTGAGAGACAAAGAAATATAATTCATGGTCACTGTCTGGGTACAGTAGACAGAGATTGGAGATGCTTCCCATGATTTTCACCTAAGCTTTTGTATCTAACTCATAGGTAAGCTGCTGTAGGCCCAGGATGTCAACGACTAAGCTGGTCTCTGCACTTGCCTGCCTACTTTAGTTCACTGGTAGAGTAGCTCGGCTTTCCTGGTTTCCCTCAGCAGCACAGAACCAGGGACAGTAGGACTAGAGTGCTCAGACAGAATTTAGGCTGTGATCAGACAGAATGGTGTGAGGCCATTCTGTCACATCAGACCCGAGCTCCAGACTGGGTGCTGGGTAGAGGGTTCATTGCGGGGAGAAAAGAGGACATCTGTAATACTTTCAACAATAAAGATAAATGTTTTAAAATCCTATATAATAAAGAGGTAATATGCAAATTAACCCTCACACCCTCACAAGATGGCTGCCTACAACCAGGCCAGCAGGGGGGTTAGTGAGGGATGACCAAAGAACTGAAGAAGCAGGCGCGTGGGGCGACCAGGCCAGCAGGGGGGGCAGTTAGGGGCGATCAGGCTGGCGGGGGGGGAGGGGGCAGTTAGGAGTGACCAGGCAGGTAGGCAGGTGAGAAATTAGGAGCCAGAAGTCCAGGATTATGAGAGGGATGTCCAACTGCCGGTTTAGGCCCCGGACATCCCCCGAGGGGTCCCAGATTAGAGAGGGTGCAGGCTGGGCTGAGGGAACCCGTCCCCCATGCACAAATTTCATGCACCGGGCCTCTAGTAAGTAAATTAAAGGCCCTGAGGAGCTGACAGACCACTAGACAGACCACTACCCCATCCCCAGCCCATCCCCCATTTGGGGTCTTCTTACACAGGACTGCTTCAACAAGGAAACCTACACACAGGGTGTGGCTATTGTTGCTGTTGTTTGCTTATTTGTCTTTCTTACTGGGTTTGGAAGAAATAGATTTCTTCCAGAATAATTCTCTTAACTGTGCAGAAGAGAACTTCTTAAAGCACTTTGTGTGATCAGTGTGTGATTGGGAGAAGTTGAAGTACAAGAGGTTTCCAATTCTCCATCCGCAGCACCCACTATCTGTTTGAACTTCCCAAAGCTGGAAAAGTATAGGTGGATTTCATATCAGTTCTCATTGAAAGCTGCACAAAGATAAAAATAGTCTTATCTCCTCTTTGGCTATAACTGTTCTGAAGCAATTTGGAAACTGCTCTAAATTAAGATGGTATGTCAAAGCTTCTTATTTGAGCCCTGGCCGGCAGCTCAGTCATTAGAGCATTGGCCTATGCATGGATTGTGGGTTCAATTCCCAGTCAAGGTCACCTATCTGGATTGCAGGTTCGATTCCCACCTCCAGTCAGGGCACATGTGGGAGGCAACCAATCGATGAGTCTCTCATATGGATGAGTCATTCTCTTTCTCCCCCTACTCCTTCCCTTCCACTCTCTCTAAAAATCAATGGAAAAAAATATCCTCACTCCTTGGATGAGGATTTAAAAAAAAGAGCTTCTTATTTGAGGAGATGCTCATAAAAGAGCTAATTGGTAGTGTCTCCTTTCTTAACATTCTGTTGTTATAACGAGAAATTACTTTATGTTAAAAATATCATTTTTATTCAAATAAAGGTAATTACGAATTTTTTTTATTTATGGCCCAGCATATAATATCCAATGCTTCCTTCTTTGTTAACTTTCAACATCTCTAGGCACTTGGGGGCTATCTAAAATGATGTAAGAACATTTTACTTACCCATTACCACACAATTGTCATATAAACTCAGAACAAAAGAATGCTCAGAGGTAGAGGAAGACAGTGAGGAAAAATCTTCCACTGCAGGACCCTGGGAGAAGGGCAGCGATTCTGCAGGTTTCTCACCACTGGCATCCACTCCTGAACTCTCAGAATCTGTGATCCCACTGAATCAATGGAAATGGCTTTGTGAGCATTTAAAGAATTTTAGTGTAGCGTGAAGTCCATTTGATTTTGACCTGTTTACCCTCCCTTGACTGATTTGTCTGTAAGGCAGCTCAGTGCCTCTTACCCAACAGGTTCAGAGGATAAGCTAGTTTGCTCTCAAGTACAGCTTCTTCCTTTCCATCTCCATGTAAACTTATAAAATCTCTTATTTCTTGTTTTTCTTTCTTCTGTGTGTACCGCAGGGGCTCGAGACATGCTATTTACCATTGCTAGTGCAGACCCAGGAGCCCAGGCACAAGACTGATCACTCGCCAAAGGGTATGTTTGCTTTGCTTTTAATCGCAAACCACAAAGTAGTTTCTGGAAGAAAATTTCCTTAAGAAACATGAACCTTTGGTTCTTTTGATATTTAAGCAAAGTAGCTATTGCTTATGTTTTAAAAAGAAAGAGAAATGCCTACAATCTGAGTTATGTAATTTTTACACATGAAAGGATAAGTTTGTTGGAAACACAATCTACAATGTTGAAATATTAAGATTACAAATGAAATCATTATAGCACTCACCTTTAAACAGAGCTTGTGGTGGCCAGGGATCGAATCTGCAAATGCCCGAGGACACAATAGGTGCTCACAACAAAAAGGGTGGAAATGATAATCCAGGCAAGCCAGCAGGAGGGAATGCCGTCATATGGCAGGGACCTAACTCACCTGCAGTGTGTTACACAAACATCCCGTGGAGACTCTGGACTTTGTAAGTGATTGCTTCAGTCGGCAGTTACCTGGAAACTTAAGAGTGAGATATCCCACGGGGACCTGAATTTTCAATGGTTTTCCCAGTCAAGGGATATTGCGATAAGTATTGCTACTGCAGAGAAAAGAAATCTCTGACTCTATTTTAAAAACTCTTGAGAATACATTGCTTAAAATTTCCTTTCCCTTCTCCTTTAGGAATGTTCATTTCATTAAAATATGTATAGATTCTTACTTTTTTTCTGATTATAGAATATTTGTTGAGGGAGATTTAGAAAATATGAAAAAGTGTGAAAAGGAAAAGGAAAATCATTTTTTTTAAAAATATATTTTATTGACTTTTCACAGAGAGGAAGGAAGAGGGATAGAGAGTTAGAAACATCGATGAGAGAGTAACATCGATCAGTTGCCTCCTGCACAACCCCCACTGGGGATGTGCCCGCAACCAAGGTACATGCCCTTGACCGGAATCGAACCTGGGACCCTTGAGTCCGCAGGCGGACGCTCTATCCACTAAGCCAAACCGGTTACGGTGGAAAATCATTTTTAATAACCAGACAAAACCACTATTAATATTTGAAATAAATACTTCTGGTCATATAATGTATAAGTGTATTGTCTCTCTATGGAAGTATACATATGAGCATATATATATGTGTGTATATATTTATATATACACACATATATATATTTCTGGTCATATAAAGTATAAGTGTATGTGTCTCTGTATAAGTATACACATGAATACACATATATATATTTTTTAAATGCCATCACACACTTATTTAAAGATTTAAATGTACAGAATTGATCTCATTCCACAGTTTATAGAACCATATCATGATTGGCCTGTGCAAAATCTTCTATTTTATTTTATTTCACTATTTATCCCCAAGATCTTGTGTCATTTCTTTTCCCAGATTAGTTACATGTATTAACGTATTTGGTGTTCGTCCTCACATGATTATTTAGATATATGTGTATCCTTCAAAACGACAAAGTCTCATTTCCCATGTGTATTTTTTGTAATTTACAGAAATGGCATTTTGCTAAAAGTCTTCTTTGATTTCTTACTTTCTTCATTCAACATTATGGTTCTGAGCCTTAGTGGATGTAAACCTACAGGAGCATAGACATTCATCGTGCCAACCATAGTTTACTCACTCTCTTAGTGTGCACTTCTCTGGCCTGCAGCTCCCGCAACTAGAAACCCAGGGAACTCTTTCCTGTGGACCTGTGAGAAAATGTCTAAAGACTTCCGGGTTGCCCTTTAGAAAACTACGTATCTTTGCACTCTTACCAGCACCTATGGGGGCTTCTCACTAGCGAGTTCTTAGCAGCCTTTGCCGTTAGCCAACCTACTGATGTTATCTCATGGTAGTATCTCATGGTTATTTAAATAGCTTGTCTGTGATCAGTAGTGAACTTCAGCATCCTTTTATTGTCTCCAGACATTCTAATTTTCTATCTGTGAATTAAGAACTCACATTTCCTGATTATTTTTCTACTATATTTCTTTACTTACTTTTGTTGTCTGATTTTCAGGTATGCCCCATACATTCTAGATACTAATGTCTTATAAACTTTGGATTTTGCAGATTTCTTCTTTTACCCA